CCCGGCCCAAGGCCAGGCTAGACCGGCCAGAGGGTGGCCCGCCAGGCAGCTGCTAGGAGCAGTCCACCGGCCCACATACCCCCACAACCAGGACGGGCCAGAACTGCCATACGAAAACAGGCTAGTGCGCCCTGGAAGTCCACGGACGAACCAGCAAGAAGGCTTATGCACGCAAGTAGGTCGTGTAACAAGCACAGACCTCTGATGGTAAGACAGTGTTCCCCAAATGTGCCAATAGCACCACTGCACTCCACTGGTACTATCCCGCAAGTTCTACCAGATAGGCGGGACCCAAGAGCCAGAGCTCAAAACCTGCAAGCACAGCCAGGAGCCTTACCAGGTGAGTACAGAACCAACCCTGCAACCCCCACACCTCACAACATTAAAAAGGAGGGTCCCCTGAATGACTCCAGCATGGGTTGGACATGCACATGAGGGGGACAGGAAGGGTTGAAAAAAGGGACAGTCACTGGTGTGCGAACGGTCTCAGTCGTACAAAAATATACCTAAATAAAGACAGGTATATAAACAACACCGCATCCAGCGCCCGGCCAAAAGACGCCAGACCGCAGAAACTCACCTGGCGAATGGTGGCACGAACTTGACACGACTCAACCGTGCCCAGAAGAACCTGGGAGCACCGCCAGGTGAAGACGCCAAAGCCGGACCCTGCCGGACCCGCAGGAGAGCAGGGAGAGGCAAAGGAGGCGGTCCACACCCATGACACAGGGAAAACCGCGGTGTCCTCCCCACAACTGGGAACCAGGACACCCCCGGCGCGAAGGGGCACATACCGCAGCCAGGGAGAAGAACGAGAGGCGAAGCACTGTAGCAAAAGGGCGCAAAACACCAGCACTGAAACACTGCCCGGACCAAAACAAACTCCACGCCGCATGCGCATAACACGCTGGCCGAACCGCACACCCTCCCTGTGGGAAGGCGCCAGCCAGGACTACTGCACGAGAAAAGTAGCCAAAAGAGGAAGCAGGAACAATAAAACCGGCCAGAGAAGCAAAGAGCCCAAAAAGGAACCCAACCGGGCGACAAGCAGCCCAACCGGGCGACAAGCAGCCCAACCGGGCGACAAGCAGCCCAACCGGGCGACAAGCAGCCCAACCGGGCGACAAGCAGCCCAACCGGGCGACAAGCAGCCCAACAGGGCGACAAGGACGAGGAGCCGACAGACGTTCCAATAATGCGGGAAGTAGCGAAAAAACCTTCCCGTACCCTCGAGAACACAGAAGCCAACCCTAGTCCCGAAGACACACGAAGGCGCAGGCGCACCCGAGATCAGAAGTCACGCAGAACCCCATCGAACGGGGAAACATGACGAAAACACCGTCCCAAAAAAGGGTGGGAGGAAACATCCACCCACAGGACGGAACCAACCGACTCAAAGGCCAAGGAACCGAGCCCGGGGAGAGGCCGACGCACAACAGCACGTACGGTGAGTGGGGAGGAAAAACCCACTCCGCGTAACCACAAGCCCCGCCTAGAGGGGGATAAAAACCCCCACGGGGTCCAACGGGGCCAAGGCCCCCCAAGTCAGCCCCTTCCCAGCCCCGGGAACCTACACGACAGGCCCCGGGGTTGAGCCGTTCCCCCAAATCCCCGGCCGTACCAGAAAACCAGGGCAGCCGTGAAAACACTAATGAAGGGAGCCCACTGGCAGACTCGTACAACATGGCTGGAGGAACAGGCTCAAATGCCCCCGTCACTACCCCGGAAGGGGAATTCCCCGAGACTGCCCGAGTCTCAACACCATCAAAAACCCTGCCCCGAACCTACAGACGGTAAGGAACCGGATGCAGGCAGGAAGGGTGATCCAGGGGAAAGACAAGGGTGCGTGGATGGAACCGAAGCAACCAACACCCCCAAGTCCCAAAACGAACTACAACGGGGCAGCCCCGGGGCTCCCGGGGAGGAAACCACGAGAACGTTGCCACCACCAAGGCTCAAGTGCAACGCCCCTGCTGCCCGCACCCGCTTTGTTAGCACAACTGGGTAACCGAGCCACAACGAGCAACCAAACTCGCAGGACTCCGGGTCGAAGGTGTCACCGACCCCACAGGCAGCAGACGGAGGCAAAACAGAGAGTCGCCCAGAGACAAAGGGTGAGAGCAACCCTCAAACTCGCTGGAAGTGAGGGGGGGACTCTGGGGTCACATCCATCGGACCCGCGCGCCCCCAGGGGTTTCCCAGGGTCCCGAGCGTTTACTATAAGAGGACTCGCGCTCAGGTAATCCCAGGCAGGGTACTGCTAACCGGCACCCAAAGCTACCAAACAACTTTCTAAGAGCTGAACCCCCGGGACGTGTACACTCACGGGGACCTAGCAGGGGTACCACCAGAAAATACTCAGAACACAAGGGACACAAGGGGCAAGAACGAAGGCAGGCCCCCCCACCAGGTAGATAAACAAAAAGAAAAAGAAAACCCCGCAAGAGGACAGCGTACCCAAGCGGAACAGAGCCGGCTGCTATGATTGGCAAAGACAAGCTGCACAGTACCCTGCGCCCCACCAGTGCAAAAACTGCCCCTTACTCTAAGGCGAACAAGGGAGACAGAACACCCGAGCACACAAAGAGCGGCCGAAAACCAAGCAGTAAACGGCCAAGCAGGGGCAGGACCCAAGGAACTTGTGGAAGGTGGCCCCAAGCCCCAAGGGCAGTACTTACAGGGCACCTAGGGAAGGGAACCCTAGGCGCATGCAGCCCGAGTATTGAAGAATCACTCCCGGCTCACGCACCACCTAGAAAACAGACACCACACTCTAGGTACAGTGCTGAAACAACCACTGGAGCCGGAGCACATAACCATTGCCTATAGCATCAGCCGAAGAATTGATGGGTGGATAGCCGGCGTGGGAGGTCTGGGGCTCCCCCTTCCCCCTCCCGGGGAGGGGGGAGCTGCGCAGACAGAGGCGCGGTGACTTATGACGTCATACTAGTTTCCTTGTTTTCTGTTGAAGAGTTCTATCCACTAGTTCGGCTTTAGGTAGCAATTTTCACCAGAATAGGGGTTTGTTTTGGAATGCTTACCTTTCTGGATGCTTGACCCGGTCGATGGCAGACATAGAATGCTTCCAACCACACGGGGGTTTCTATAGGCCATTGTTCCCCTTGTCTCTCTGAGGGGGCCAGGTTCTGGCTCGTGGTCCCCGGTAGGCCCTAGAACTCCATACACATGACTGATGCCAAAGTCTGACATTAGCATATCAGCCGGTAAAGCTCCGGGGAGCCGACGGGGCTCCCCCCAGAAAAAACATTAAAATATAGCCTAATTAAAAAAAAATTGTACAACTCTGAGAACAAGATTTCTCGGTTGGTGCAGCACAGTGGTTAAAGAAAGACCTGACCATTTGCTCAGGTCTTTCATGAATTTTTATATATTCAGTTTGTAATCTTTGTTTCATGTTGATATATTTAAATCCATATTTATAAGCATTTGTGAGTTTTCTGTGAGGTGACAATTTAAGGTAATGAAGTAACAATTACTGTAACCCCGCGATTATCCGGGATTCAAACATCCGGAAAACGCCCTTATACGGCCAAAATCGTGATCGGATAAAGTTATCACAATATCCGGCCAAAATGGCCACAGGAACCGGATAAAAGCTAGTTTGGCCGGATGAAAATACGGCCATACCGTATTAATCCCGTCTGTGGCTCTAGACGCATGGTGGAGGAGGGGGGTGGGGTGGGTGGGTGGTGTTGGGAGGGTGGGAGGGGTGCGTCAGGAGGGACCACCTGGGTACAGGAATTACCATTAATTTTAGAACAATTAATCATAGCCAAAAACAAATGAAATAAGTACTAGTAATTATGTAATAACAAATAAATAAGTTTCCTAAAAGCATTGTGCAAAGGCTGAAGTTTCCTTAAAAAATATTGTGAATTTTTTTCCTCCTGGCGGCCTACGTAACGTGCTATAGCTGCCCCACCCCAAGTGGACCCGTCCAACACTGATCAACCCATGTGCGGCCGTCCCTCGTGTTATACACAGTGCTGCGCCATTAGTGAAATATTTTTTTAAATAACTTTTTTATTTTCAAAGTAATTTTGAACATTTTTGGCCAAGACTATGTCTGGTAGCAGCATCAATCGTTCTGGAGGTGTTAAGAGGAAGAAAGTTGTCCTAACAATTAAAGACAAGTCACTGTTATACACCTCAACCAGTGCGGCCTCACAGTGTTGCGCCATTAGTGAAATATTTTTTTAAATAACTTTCTTAATTTTCATAGTAATTTTGAACATTTTTGGCCAAGAATATGTCTGGTAGCAGCATCAATCGTTCTGGAAGTGTTAAGAGGAAGAAGATTGTCCTAGCAATTAAAGACAAGTTACGTGTTGTTCAAACAGTGAGGCGTCACAGGCAGCCAAGCGCCTTCAACAAGTGAGGCGCCACAGGCAAGCCAAGCTCCTTCAACAAGTGCCGCGCCACAGGCAAGCCAAGCGCTTTCAACAAGTGAGGCGCAAGCAAGCGCCTTTAACAAGTGAGGCGTCACGGGCAAGCCAAGCGCCTTCAACAAGTGAGGGCATGCAAGCGCTTCAACAAGTGAGGTGCAAGCAAGCGCCTTCAACAAGTGAGGCCTCACAGGCAACCCAAATGCCCTCAACCAGTGAGGCTTCAGCAGCTGGCAGTCAAAACTAACTTAGCTTAATGAACTGTACAGTAATTTTAAGTGTTAATTTTAGTGTTGTGTTAGTATAGGTTACGTAAGTTGTTAAGAATTTTTAACTTCAAGATGTGTGGCATCAATCAAGAAGACGAACACCAACAAGGTAAGTTGAGGTTTCTAGTTGAATATTTAATAATTGTATGTGGCAAGGCAATTCAAATTATGTTGTCTGTAGTATAAAAATAGTTGGAAATGGTCACTTTTGGACTCGTAGGTGAAAAAGTACCATTATCCGAAAAATGTGATAATCCGGCTGGGGGTCCTTCCCATATAGTCCGGATGATCGAGTGGAGACAGTACCATTTTCATTTCGTTTCAGGAATGTCTGAGACTGGCTGGACCTTGTTATATCTTCAAGGACTACCATGCTCCCGGTTATGTTTTTCAGCTTGAAAATGGGGCCGTTGACGAGTTAACCAGGTGATTTACCGTTACATTGACGTTACCTATATCAAACTTCAACCATAGTAATTATCAGTCTTGTATCCAAGTAAACTTTATATTAGAATATCTGTCCTACTACACATTATCACTTGGTCAGTTGTAATACATCTTTAATTTCTTAAACACTTGTACCCAAGTTAATACCTCCCAGCACAGTCATGATTCATTATGGTCCTCTGTATCTCGCACATAAAAAACCACTATTGCAGTAATGCCTCATCTCCTGGCCATTTATACCTGATGTACTAATTACTTCTCTCGATGTTAAAAGTTCTACTATATTTTCTGTGGGGAGCCCCTATGGCCCCCTGGAGCTTATCGGGCTAATGTATGTTATGTTAGACCGGGACATTAGCAATGGAGTTCAGACCTACCAGGGACTAGCGCCAGAACCTGGCCCCTTCAGAGAGGTTTCAGGGAGCAATGGCCCTGGAAAACCCCATATGGTTGGGGGTTTTCCTTATCTGCCATCGACCGTGGTCAGGCACCCAGAAAGGTAGGCATAACAAAACAAACCCCACATGGTAAAAACTACAACAAAAACCGAACAGAGAGGTAGAAAACTCCCTACAATCCCAAAGAACAATCAAACAATCAATTTACTGCCGCGCCGGTCGTCCGCGCAGCCCTCCCTAGCCCCCCGGGAGGGGGAGGGGGGCCCCGGACCTCACCGCGCCGGCTGCCTTCAGTTCGCAAGCTAGTGTCAACCGGGATAGACGCTTCTCTGGCCTCAAATTCCTGAGCAGTGTTTGCCTCGTGTGGCGTTCTCTGCTGTCTTTGTGTATTGTGTGGTGGCCAGGAGTACCTCATCAGTGCCGGGGCTGCATGCGGCTAGGGGTTTCCTTCCCTAGATCACCATTTCTATGGTGACTGTTTTGGTGGCCCTCTGCTAGGCCCCCCATGCTTGTACACGTCCCAGGGGATTTTCAGTGTTATCATCTACCTTTGTTGTTGGGTTTCTCAACCGGTAAGCAACACCTTGCCCGGGCTTCCCGTAGTTGCTAACCTACGGGCCCTGGAAACCCATGTCGGGGCTCGGGGACCCATGGATGCGTCTCCCGAGTTCCAGCCTGCCTTGTGCGGGTTTGAAGGTTGCAGTGTGCCCTTGTCTCAGGGTGACAGTCACCTGTTTTGCCTCCGTCATGCTGCCTGTTGGGTCAATGACACCTTTGACCCGGAGTCTTGCGAGTCATGTTCTCTGCTTGTGCTCCAGTTTTACTCTGAGGATGTTCCTATTAGGGTACAGGCAGCATCAGCGTTGCATGTTAGGTTTAGGTTATTGCAACGTGCTAGGTTGGTTTCCCACCCGGATGCCCCGAGGCTGCCCCGTTTTGGCTTTAGGGACCCTGACCTGGGGGCATTGGTTGCTATGGTTTTGGCTCCAGCTGCGCCCCCTGGTCCTTCCCCTGTGGTTCTTCCTGCACCTCCTTCCCTGTGTCCGGCTCCGAAACGTCTGAGGGTTTCGGCCTCAGCATAGGGTTTAGTTGGTAATGAGACTCGGGCTGCCTCGGGGGCTGCCCCATCCGGGTCGTGGACGGAGGCATTTGAGCCGGTTCCTCCTGCCGAGGCTTCTAGGTCCCGCCAGCAGACCCCCTTCTTGTCTGCCTTTCCCTTGGACTCTGCCTTTTCTTCAGGGGTTGAGGGTTTGGAGGACAGCTCTGCCCTGGGTCCCAACGTGGGGGATCCTGGGGCTGGGGGAGGAGTCGACCTGGGGGCCTTGGGCCCCCTGTGACCCCGCTTGGGTGCTTTTGCCTTCCGAGCGGGGCTTATTGTTGCAGGGGGAGGGGGTTTTCTTACCCCCCTTTCCCTGTATGAGTATGATTTGGGTTCGGCTCCTCTCCGGGTTCGGTTCCGGGCGCCTTTGGGTACCTCGGATCCGTCTTTCCAGGGGTTTGCTACTTCCTGCATCTCCGCGAAGGTGGCTCGGGAAGCTCTTGCTGCATACCTCTTGCGAGACCCGGGTTATGCCTCCCCATTGGATCCGTCCTCGTTTGAGTTCGGTTCTTCTTCCCGTTTTTGGGTGCATTTGGAGGTTCCGGAGTCTTCCTGCCTGGCAGACTGCCCTTTCTTTTCGTTGAGGGCGTGGCATGGTTTCTGTCGGACCTGGACGCTTGATTGGCGGGAAATGCTACTTTTATGCAGGTTTACCTGGGGGGCGAGTTTGAGCACCTTAATGAGTGCTTATTTGTTCCTGTGCTTTCTCAGGATGTTGCCCTTTTCCAGCTTCACGTGTAGGTTTCTCAGCTTTCGGCTTCATTGGTTGCGGAGGAGTTGCGCTCCCGTGGGCATTTGGCTTCGGTCTTGCGTTTCTTTTCCTTTCTCGAGCTGTCTTCTGCTTGGCTTGAGGAGGATGTGGGAGCGTTGGGTGAAGGGCCTTCGTCTGGGGCGCTGTCTTCGGCAGCTGGGGCGTCGGCTGCATTGTTGAAGCTCTTTGCGCCCATCCTGAAGGAAGTGGTGTCTCTGTTTTTTGCTTCTCGCCTCGCGTGCCGTCAGGCTGTGCTCGCTCTCTTTTTGGAATCCGCTTGGGCCCTGACTCTTAGGTTTTCGTCTCCGTTTTGTCCGTTGCTGTTTGCAGAGACATCGGTGTCCCAGTTTCTGCACGCGGCTTTGTCCAGTTGTCGTCCTATGGCGGACTTGTTGATTCTCCGAAGTGGTCGTTCTCAGCAGTTTCGGAGGGGTTGTGCCAGGGTTCAGGGTTCCGCTGGTCGAGGTGGGCCATTGGTGCCAGTTTCTGAGCCGTTGTTCCCTTTGGGGCCAGCGTCGTCTGGTCGGCGCGGTGATCGCCCTGTTCGACATTTGGGTTCTCGTAAGGGGCATCGGCCCTTTTGTGGTTTGCCCCGTTGACGGGGCGATGGGGGGGGGGGGGGAGGCTCGCTCTGTTTGCTCACACTTGGTCCCACGATTTGTGGGCCTTTTCGGTCGTGTCATCCGACCTGCGGTGGCGTTGAGCACCTCGTCCTCCCTTGGGGGGTTCGGGGCTAACAGGGCAGGTTTCCTCTCTGCGCTTCGTCAAGTCATATTGGAGTGGGTGTGCTTGGGCGTGGTCGAAATGACTACGTCCCTCAGGTGGGTTTCCCGTCTGTTTCCAGTACCGAAACGAGACTGTGCAGATCTGAGGTTCATTCTGGACTTGTCTCGTCTGAACCCCTGGATTCCTTGCCCTTCCTTTCGAATGACTACTCTGTCTCAGGTCCAGCTTCTGTTGGAGCCGGGTGCCTGGATGGTGTCCCTGGACCTCAAGGACGCTTATTGGCACGTTCCTATTCATCCAGGGTTCAGGGACTGGTTAGGTTTCGTGGTGGGGCGTCACGCTTACCATTTTCGATGCCTACCTTTTGGCTTGAATCTGGCACCTCGCATTTTCACGCGTCTGACCCGGGTTGTGGTGACCCGTCTGCGTCTAATAGGGATTCGGGTTTTGGCCTACCTCGACGACTGGCTGGTGTGGGCTCCCAGTCGGTCGGCTTGTCTGCTCGCCAGGGACTTAGTTCTTTCCCAGCTCACCAGGTTCGGGTTCCTGGTGAACTGGAGGAAGTCCCATCTGGTTCCGTCCCAGGTTCGGACCTGGCTGGGTCTTGTTTGGGATTCTCGGACCGCTGCCTTGTCTCTCCCTCCAGAGGCGTTGTTGCAGCTGCGGGACAGCCGTCGGCTGTTTCTGAGGGGGTCCCAGGTCACTCGGCGGTTGCTCGAGCAGTTGTGCGGGAGTCTGAACTTTGCCGTGCTCGTCTACCCGTCTGGTTGGGTTTGGCTTCGGTGTCTGTTTTGGTTCCTTCAGGGACGTCCCTTCCGCCTCGCTCGCGATTGTTGGGTTCGTCCTCCGTGGGCCTTGTCGGTTGCTGCGTCACCGGCTTCCTCTTCAGGGTTTTCGGGGTTCGGTGCCTTGGCGCCTTCCCGAGCTATCGCTCGATGTGTTCACGGATGCGTCGTCTCTCAGCAAGGGCTTTGTGACCAGTGCTCACCAGGCAGGCCAGGGACGGTGGGGTCCGTCCTTCCATTGGGCTCACAGCACGGTTTGGGAGTTCGCGGCAATCTGGCTCGTGCTTCGGAGGGTTCGGGTCGCTCGGGGATCGACCATTCGCCTCCATTCGGACTGTTCTCCGGTGGTTCATTGCCTGAACCGTGGGGGTTCTCTTCGGTCCTTGGCTCTTTGGGGTTGGTCTCTTCGAGTGGTTCGTCTGCTGGATTCCCGGGCTTTGGCTCTCCGTGCGGTTCATGTCCGGGGAGTGTCCAATGTCCTGACGGACGGTCTGTCTCGCTTCCATCCCCTGTCCACGGAGCCTCGTTTCGTTAGATCTGCTAGACGTACGGTCTCCCAGATGTGGACCTCTTCGCGTTGGCGTGGTCTCGGCGTCTCCCAGTCTATGTGACGCCCTTCCCCGACTGCGAGGCATTCGCGGTGGATGCCTTTTGGCAGGACTGGTCGAGGTGGTGTTACCTGTACTTCTTTCCCCCGGTCTAGCTGTTGCTTCGGGTTCTGGTTCGGTTGGAGACATTCCCAGGGAGATTAGTCCTTGTGGCCTCTTGGTGGCCGGCCCAGCCTTGGTTTCCGATGCTCTTGGCTCGGTGCCCGAACCCGGGATGTTTCCCGCGGCTCCGCCTCTTTCAGGAGGTCGGCCCGGTCCGATACAGGGCTGGTTCGAACTTCTCCTCTGCTCTTCGCATCTGGTCTTTTTGACGCGGGTGTATCACCATTTCTATGGTGATCTTCGGTGATATGGTGATATGGTGATGGTGATAATTGGCTTCGTTGATGGTGTCCCACCTGAGAGCTTCGTCTCGGCGACAGTATGAAGTTTCCTGGCATTCTTTTCGCCATTTTCTGGCTCTTCGTAGGTTGTCTCTTCTTTTGGATCGGGTTGTCTTGTCCTTTCTTTCTTGGCTTTTTCAGGGCCGTCATTTGATGCCTAATACTGTCGCCTCGTATCGTGCGGCACTGGCGGAGCCGTTCAAGCTAGCGTTCGGGGTGGACTTCACATCCGCCCCGTTTCGTAAGCTTTCCCGTGCTATGTTTCATCTCCGGCCTGCTCATGCTCTTCCTGAGCCATCCTGGTCTTTGGACAGGGTGCTCTCCTATCTTTCCTCTCCTCGGTTTGTGGTGGCCCCTTCGGTTCCGGATTGTTTTTTCAAGGCTTTGTTTTTGTTGGCATTGGCCTCTGGGCGCCGGGTAGGGGAGCTTCATGCTCTTCTCCGGGGCAGGGGTTTCTGCTCTTTTGGTCCTGGGGGGTAGGTTTGTCTGTTTGCAGCCTTCTCCATCTTTTCTGGCGAAGAACGAGATGGCTGCTTTCCGGAGGGGTCCGTGGGTCAATGATGCTTGGTTGGTTCGGCCAGGGGTGCATCATGTGTTGTGTCCGGTTGCAGCACTTCGCCGTTACCTGCACGCTTCAGCTAGGGTTGCTGGGGATGCACTTTGGGTTGATCCGGTTTCCCTCGTTCCCTGTTCCAGGGCTCGGGTCTCCCAGGTTGTCCGCAGGGTTATTAAGTCTAGCCAGCCTGCGGTCTATCCTCGCGCCCATGACGTTCGGAAGTTTGCAGCTTTGGCTGCCATATTTGGTAACATGTCTTGGGCTCATATTCGGGCGCGTGGATTTTGGAAGTCGAACAGGGTCCTGGCCGCCCGTTATTTGGTGAACGTCCCATTGAACGTTGCTTTGGGTCGCAGGTTGTAGCCAGTTGTCTCGACTTCGCGTTGAGGAGTTTGTGGCCGCCGCCTACCGGGTAAGTCCCTAATTCCTTCTCTTTGGGTATTTAGCTCCAGGGAGCCGTATGGGCTCCCCACAGAAAACCAGTGTTGAATGTAATGAAACGCCATTTTCTGGGTGAGCCCCGGAGGCTCCCTGGCAACCCTCCCTCCCATCCGGTCGGCGGGGTTTTTCGTGTTGGTTGAAGCCTAGTTTCCGAACTGAAGGCAGCTGGCGCGGTGAGGTCCGGGGCCCCCGTCCCCCTCCGGAGGGGGGGGAGAGGGCTGCGCGGACGACCAGCGCGGCAGTAAATTGATTGTTTGATTGTTCTATGGGATTGTAGGGAGTTTTCTACCTCTCTGCTCGGTTTTTGTTGTAGTTTTTACCATGTGGGGTTTGTTGTGTTATGCCTACCTTTCTGGGTGCCTGACCCCGGTCGATGGCAGATAAGGAAAACCTCCAACCACAAGGGGGGTTTTCCAGGGCCATTGCATCCTGAAACCTCTCTGAAGGGGCCAGGTTCTGGCGCTGGTCCCTGGTAGGTCTGAACTCCATAGCTAATGTCTCGGTCTAACATAACATACATTAGCCTGATAAGCTCCAGGGAGCCTCCAGGGCTCACCCAGAAAATGGCGTTTCATTACATTTAACGCTGGTTTTTTTTAAGTTGTGGATGGAATTGGCTTCAATCTCTTTCTTCAGTACATTCCATTTGCTGATCTGTAAAGGGTACAAGAATTGCCTTATACCTTGATTTGGTTTTCAGCTTCCACCAATATCCTCTTACTTTGCCTCCTTTTATTTTAAATAGGCTTCCTTTTTCCACATTTTCTATTCTGATCAGGACTTATATGTGGTGATCATATCCCCCTAAGTCCTTTTCACCAGGATTTTATATGTAGTGATCATATCCCCCTATGCTTTTTTTCACCATTCTAAGGTTATAAGGGGGTGAGTTCCCTCAGCCTGTCCTCTGCACTTTCTCAAGTTTCTAATTGTGCTTTATGAGGTGTGGGTTCCATGCTGGTTGTGCTTATTCCAGTAATAGTCTCACGTAGGCAGTGTATGGACTATAAAGCCTCCTTGTTTAGATTCTTAAATGATGTTCTTATTTTTACTAACTTGCCATATACTGGTGATGTTATCCTGCTCACATGAGTGTCTTGTGTTAGTGTTGGGATTATATCCACTCCCAGGGACCAGATTCACGAAGAAGTTACGCAAGTACTTACGAACGTGTACATCTTTCCTCAATCTTCGACGGCTTTGTTTCCAATTACCTGTATAAAAAGTTAATGAGCTTTGGCAGGTCTTTTTCTCTTATTGTGTCTTGTTGGTGCTTTCCCCTTATGATGTACTTAAATGCCCTTTATGTGTTGTTAGATGAAAAAGTACTGCGGTAATAGCCAGCAGGTGGTGGGCTTCACGGTGACCCAGCAGGTGGTGGGCTTCACGGTGACCCAGCAGGTGGTGGGTATCACGGTGACCCAGCAGGTGGTGGGTATCATGGTGACCCAGCAGGTGGTGGTCTTCACGGTGACCCAGCAGGTGGTGGGTATCACAGTGACCCATCAGGTGGTGGGCTTCACGGTGACCCAGCAGGTGGTGGGTTTCATGGTGACCCAGCAGGTGGTGGGTATCACGGTGACCCAGCAGGTGGTGGGCTTCACGGTGACCCAGCAGGTGGTGGGCTTCACAGTGACCCAGCAGGTGGTGGGCTTCACGGTGACCCAGCAGGTGGTGGGCTTCACTGTGACCCAGCAGGTGGTGGGCTTCACGGTGACCCAGCAGGTGGTGGGCTTCACTGTGACCCAGCAGGTGGTGGGCTTCACTGTGACCCAGCAGGTGGTGGGCTTCAAGGTGACCCAGCAGGTGGTGGGCTTCACGGTGACCCGGCAGGTGGTAGGCTTCACTGAGACCCAACAGGTGGTAGGCTTCACGGTGACCTGGCAGGTGGTAGGATTCACAGAGACCCAACAGGTGGTAGGCTTCACACTGACACAGAAGAAAACAGAAAATGCATTTGCTTTTGCGGTGTAAGTATAGTGGGGCAAGAATTAAAGTATCAGAAAAACACTCAAGTAAAATACAAACTAATTTAATTAAAAAACAAAATAAATTACTTTAACATTTGACATACAATCTGGTGTGTACACAGTACTTACCTTGAGGTTACCTTGAGGTGCTTCCGGGGCTTAGTGTCCCTGCGGCTCGGTCGTCGACCAGGCCTCCTGGTTGCTGGACTGATCAACCAGGCTGTTGGACGCGGCTGCTCGCAGCCTGACGTATGAGTCACAGCCTGGTTGATCAGGTATCCTTTGGAGGTGCTTATCCAGTTCTCTCTTAACACTGTGAGGGGATTGCCAGTTATGCCCCTTATGTGTAGCGGAAGCGTGTTGAACAGTCTCGGGCCTCTGATGTTGATAGAGTTCTCTCTCAGAGTACTTGTTGCACCTCCACTTTTCAACGGGGTTATTCTGCACATCCTGCCATGTCTTCTGGTCAAATGTGATGTTATTTCTGTGTGCAGGTTTGGGACCAGCCCCTCTAATATTTTCCACGTGTAAATTATTATGTATCTCTCCCGCCTGCGCTCAAGGGAGTACAGATTTATGCTCTTTATTCGGTCCCAATAGTTTAGGTGTTTTACTGAGTGGATTCTAGCAGTAAAGGATCTCTGCACGCTCTCCAGGTCAGCAAATTCTCCAGCTTTGAAAGGTGCTGTCATTGTGCAGCAGTACTCCACTCTAGAGAGCACAAGGGTTTTGAAAAGTGTCATCATCGGTATAGCATCTCTAGTGTGAAAAGTTCTTGTTATCCAACCTGTCATTTTTCTTGCAGTTGTGACGGATACTTTATTGTGTTCTTTAAAGGTAATGTCTTCCGACATGAGTACACCCAGATACTTAAAAACAAACATAAATGAAGAACACTGAAAAAAACTCTTTAGACTTGGATAGAGATTGAGACAAGTTAAATACACCCAAAAGGCTACAACATACTTTACCAAAACACCATAACCTGATAATGACCTGCCATAGCAAAATCAATGACAGCTAAAGGTGTTCACACCCTGAGCATCTGAGAAGAGTAATTGGTGACACCTATTTGTGATTTCTCCAGACTTCTGGAATTGACGTCACAATTTTGTCAATGGTGGAACTGGTTGAGAAGCCTGTGGCTTGTTGCCAGGTGTGGAGGCCAGTTGACCGGAAGTAGGTGTTTCATACACTCATGTTACTTCAGTAATATACAGTTCTTAAATTTTATTCACCATAGCATAGGTATAATTGGCCAACTGGACTACCTCAGATGAGAGATTATTTGCTACATTATTTATTATTTTGTTCTTTGAACAGGTCTGTAATGAAAGTCATAAAACTGTTCCACCGTGAAGAGATGGCTCATAATTTATACATCACTCGTGGTACGTCTCTGGATGGTAACTCCATTGCTGGCAGATATGACACAATAAGAGTTATTCTCTGGGCTCGCAAACTCTGCTATGGTAGGTTACTTGTATGTTTGTCTAGCAATGAAATTTGTTCTAAAATAAGTATTATTAAACACAACCATCTCTTTCATGTAAGATCTGTGGTTGTATCACAAATGCCAAGTAAATTTGTTACACCAGACCTTCCTGTTGGAAAGCCATACTGTCTTGTCTGTTATTATGTCATTTGTCCAAGAAATCTACTATTTTGTTTGAATTATCTTTTCCAATGATGTGACTTACAATGATACAGATTTATAATTTTGACTTTGCTATCAACATTTGTATAGATTGGTACAATGTTGGCATTTTCCATATGTTTGCTAGGATTGCCTGTTTGTAGTGGAATGTTGTGCGTGGGGTGTGTGTTCTTTCATAACCCAAGGTCCAACTCCATCTAGTACATATAGTTAGGCCATAACTCTGGGTTATGCCCTAGATTCCCTATTGTGTTTGGATGTTGAAAAACCTTGTTTTACACAAACACACTTTGAAATTGTTCATTTAATGTTTCACACATTTCTTTTTTGGTCTCTGAATCTGTTTCTTATTATTAATCTCAGGTTTTTATATTTTACTTGCAATTTGCTTCTTAAAAATTTATATTATAGGCTGGGATCTGTTTTATATTTTTCTGGTATCCCATTTTCAACGTTTCTATATGTAGTCTCATTTCAGTGTATTTGTTTTGTGCCTGAGAGCTACTCACAATAAGCTAACTGGAACAAACTGCATGAGGCTGACTGGATATTTGTGACGCCTGAGAACTATCTGCACCAGGCTGACTGGCCATTGACCCGACACCTGAGTGCAACACAAGGTTTAACATAATTAGGTTTGAACTGCAAAATGTATTAATATTACTGAGACTCATCATCTACATAATGGGGCTGAAGATATGATGACCAAATCACACATGAGGAAATGAAGAAACTAGGCTTTGGTCTGTTCTGGACCATTATCACGATTTTAAATTAATTGTTCAGGACGGCCCAAACACCGTTCTTTCTTTGTTTTTTTATGTGTAGTTTGATCATCATGTATTAACCTTAAACTTTATTACAGGTTAATAGGTTTGGGTAAAAAACTAGTATGGCCATGTTTGTGGTTTAGTTTTACTTGCTCTTGAGAAACACTACCTTCATAGAATAGTTTACTCTATTTCTGGGGGAAGCCTCTTGTTTCTCTCTGAACGTAACTACCCACTGAGAAGGGAAAGATACGGAAACACACCAGGGAGGAGGAAGCACTGCAGAAGATGCGACGAGGATGAGACCCCCAGCCCAGACACATGACCAAAGCCACACAAGGGTGCCGAAATCCAGAAACATTAACCAGATACCAGGCTGCCAGAACCCTGTTCAACCTCCAAAACCCCTGCGCCCAAATATCAGCCCAGGACATGTTCGCAAACACCGCTGAAATAGTGGCATACTTCCCAACATGCTATCAACATTTGTATAGATTGGTACAATGTTGGCATTTTCCAACGTAGTGTACTGGTTCCCAACATCTTGCACACAAGGGTAGATCACAAGTAGCTAGATCCCATAACACTGCAGACAACCTGGGAAGGATAAACCATGGTATAGACCCATAAAGTGGCAAAAATAAAAGTCAGTGCTCCCTGCACCTCTGTGAGAAGGTTTGGTTCTAGCACTGGTCCCTGGTAGGCCTACAGACTGATGTGACCTAGTTGAGGGTACCCTCTTGGTATATAGTAAGGGAGGGACCTGGACTTGCCCAGAAATTGGCATTTTGTTACATTCAACACTGGATTTTTGTGAGAAATGTTATTAATATACTGTTCTGTACATTTTCTTTTTCATGTGCAGGTATAAAGGATATTACTGTATTTGCTGCTGCAGCCTGTGAACTTGCTGGGCATGTACCCATATACTGTAAGTACTATAAATAAAATTAGTTATTATTCTAAGATACTGTTTTCTGGGGGGAGCCCCGTCGGCTTCCCGGAGCTATCTCAGGCTGATATGCTAATGTCAGACTTTGGCATCAGTCATGTGTATGGAGTTCTTACGCCTACCGGGGACCACGGCCAGAACCGGGCCCCCTCAGAGAGGCAAGGGAGCAATGGCCTATAGAAGCCACCGTGTGGTTGGAAGCATTCTATGTCTGCCATCGACCGGAACAGGCACTCAGAAAGGTAAGCGCCTCAAAACAAACCCCTATTCTGGTTAAAATTACTACCAAAAGCCGAACAAGTGGATAGAACTCCCTAACAGAAAACAAGCAAACTAGTGTGACGTCACACGCCGCCACGCCGCTGTCTGCGCAGCTCCCCCCTCCCCGGGAGGGGGAAGGGGGAGCCCCAATCCCTCCACGCCGGCTACCCACACCTCAGTTCTTGAGGCTGATGCTATAGGCGAAGGTCATGTGCTCTGGCTCCGGTGTTGCTACAGCACTGTGCTTTGCGTGTGGTGGTTGTTTTTGTGGGTGCGAGAGCCAGGAGTTATCTTCAGTACTCGGGCTGCATGCGCCTAGAGCTGCCTTCCCTAGGTGCCCTGTAAGTACTGCCCTTGGGGCTTGGGGCCACCTTTCACAGGCTCCTTGGGGTCTGCCTCTGCTGGTCCGTTTTACCTTTCAGTTTTTCGGCTGCCTGTTAGGCTCTTGGGTGTTCTGTTCTCCCTTGTTACCGGCAGGTAAGAGGCAGTTTGCACTGGTAGGGGCGCAGGGTGCTGCACAGCTTGAATTCCCAACATAGCGGCCGGCTCTGTTCCTTGGGGTTCGCTGTTCTCTTGCGGGGTTTTGTTTTTCTTTTTGTTTTTGCCTGGTGGGGGGTTCTGTCATTTTATTCCGTTAGTTTTTGCCCTTCCACTGTTCTCCTCGGTGGCGCCCCCTGCTAGGTCCCCGTGAGTGTACACGTCCCTGGGGTACAGCTATAGAAGTTTGCTTGGTAGTTTTTGGCGTAGGTTAGCAGCGCCCTGCCTGGGACTACCTGAGCGCGAGTCCTCTTAACCCCTTAACTGCGTTGCCTCCAAATGTGACACCCCCGCAGTGCGCAGGAAATAAATTCTCTGGAAAAAATTCTTTTTTCTTTTTAAAGTGTCAAAAACCCTTCCCTCAGTATGGGTATGTAAAAAAAAAGTCGAAATTGTACTTACTTTGGCTGCTATGGGGTCCGGAAGATGGGGCGTGACGTCATCATTCCCCGTGCGCCCGTGCCATAAGCTCTCGGGGGCGGTGGGGCGCTCGGGGCAGGGCGCGCGAGTTGCCGCGAATATATTTTCGTTCATTTTTTGCGCACGTTTCCAAATACATTTTCATTGTTTTTATGTGCCAATCCAATGTATAATGAACACGTACACTATAATATCGCAGTACAACATCCGTACTGTCTGTAGACACTGTGTTACGTGCATGAAACTTGTGTACACATATGCAGCACATATTTACTATGTATCATGCTAATTTGTGTATATATACAATCTATTTACACACTATACACTGTCACACAATATCAGCTGCCTCGTATGGGCCAATATCAACTGCCTCGTATGGGCCAATATCAGCTTCCTCGTATGGGCCAATAGCAACTTCCTCGTATGGGCCAATAGCAGCTGCCCCGTATGGGCCAATAGCAGCTGCCCCGTATGGGCCAATAGCAGCTGCCTCGTATGGGCCAATATCAACTGCCTCGTATGGGCCAATATCAGCTGCCTCGTATGGGCCAATAGCAGCTGCCTCGTATGGGCCAATAGCAGCTGCCGCATATGGGCTAATAGCAGCTGCCTCGTATGGGCCAATAGCAGCTGCCTCGTATGGGCCAATAGCAGCTTTCCCGTATGGGCCAATATCAGCTGCCTCGTATGGGCCAATAGCAGCTTTCCCGTATGGGCCAATATCAGCTGCCTCGTATGGGCCAATATCAACTGCCTCGTATGGGCCAATATCAGCTGCCTCGTATGGGCCAATAGCAGCTGCCTCGTATGGGCCAATAGCAGCTGCCGCATATGGGCTAATAGCAGCTGCCTCGTATGGGCCAATAGGAGCTGCCTCGTATGGGCCAATAGCAGCTGCCTCGTATGGGCCAATAGCAGCTTTCCCGTATGGGCCAATATCAGCTGCCTCGTATGGGCCAATATCAGCTGCCTCGTATGGGCCAATATCAACTGCCTCGTATGGGCCAATATCAGCTGCCTCGTATGGGCCAATAGCAGCTGCCTCGTATGGGCCAATAGCAGCTGCCACATATGGGCTAATAGCAGCTGCCTCGTATGGGCCAATAGCAGCTGCCTCGTATGGGCCAATAGCAGCTGCCTCGTATGGGCCAATAGCAGCTTTCCCGTATGGGCCAATATCAGATGCCTCGTATGGGCCAATAGCAGCTTTCCCGTATGGGCCAATATCAGCTGCCTCGTATGGGCCAATATCAGCTGCCTCGTATGGGCCAATATCAGCTGCCTCGTATGGGCCAATAGCAGCTGCCTCGTATGGGCCAATAGCAGCTTTCCCGAATGGGCCAATATCAGCTGCCTCGTATGGGCCAATAGCAGCTTTCCCGTATGGGCCAATAGCAGCTGCCTCGTATGGGCCTATAGGAGCATTTGGCCATGAACACATTCAGAACACCACGAGTGAGAGCAGCCACACCCAGCCTGTCTCCCTCACTCCAACATCTTACTCGCCAACATTGCTCCTCCCACCATGTTGTTATAGTTCTTATTACACATATTCTATATACCTATCTACATGTTTTATTTACCAGAACTATGCAAGTAAGCCGGTATTGTGTCCAAACAGTACAGTGGCCACCATACACTGCATGAAAAATCACACAGCAGATGATGCTACGATTACGTCGCCTCCCTCACCAAAATAGCTCCTCTCAACATTCTCCTGTTGCTGTTCTTACACAATATACACACACTATATATACCCATGTACATATGTGTTGCCCATAGCGAACCACTAAGCTAGTATGGTGAGCAAAACAAGAGTGGCAGCCACACACACAATGAGGCTACCTCAATTCTTGCCCTCCCTCCCTCATCAAAATTCCTCCTTCCACAATACTACGCACAACGCTAATTATAACCACAATCCTGCTATTATCACAATCCTGGTCACTAATTCCTGTAAATGAATAATTGACCACACGTATATTTTGAAAAGGAACCTAAGAAATCATTTGAAGATTCCTAGATGAACGAAATAATGCTGTGGTGCTGTGGCTAGCGCTGTGAACATTGTGAACAGCATTGGATCACTGATATTTGAACATTGTACCCAGTCATTATCACACTCAGGCTCTAATATAACACTATCATAGCTAAATAATACAAGTTATATATATATTTTGACATTATTAGGCGATGCTGTGGTCACATGCTGAACAGCAGTGCTGTGCGCTCATGCTGCAAGCGCCAGCCTTGGTTGCTCACACACTACTGAGGCTCTCACACTCGGGAAGGTGGACCACGATTTTTTTTAAAGATGGCGTCTGTTTACAAGAGCCCTGAGGAAGCTGATGTGAACCCCATGTAGCCGCGGGAGTTTTGAATGGAACGTGAAAAATACAAATACCCGGAGGCGCGTTGCGCAAACCAGACATGAGCCTGCAGGCGCGTTGCGCAGTTTAAGGGTTAAAGTAAACGCTCAGGACCCTGGGAATCCCCTAGGGGGCGCGTGGGTCTGATGGATGTGAACCCGGTGTCCCCGTTCGCTGTGTGCGAGTTTGAGGGTTGCTTGGTCCCCTTGTCTCAGGGTGACTCTCATTGTTTTTGCCTCTGCCTGTTGGGTTGGTGATACATTCGACCCTGAGTCCTGAGAGTGTTGCTGCTTGCTTGTGATTCAATTTACCCAATCCTCTGATGAATCTCTTTGGGTACAGGCGGCGTTGCAGTCTAGGTTTCGTCTGTTGCAACGCCCTCGGTTGGTTGCTCACCCGGATGCCCCGGGGCTGCCCCGCTTTGCTTTTCGAGACCCGGACTTGGGGGTGGGAGTTGCTTCGATCCTGGTTCAGTCCGCACCTCTTCGTCCTTCCCCTTCTGTTCGTTCTGGCCCCCCCCTCCTGCTTCCGGCCCCGAAGCGTCTGAGGGTTTCGGGATCGGAGCAGGGGTTACTTGATCTCGAGACTCGGGCAGCTTCGGGGGGTGCCCCATTCCGGGGGGGCGGCAGAGGCATTCGAGTCTTGTCTCCTGGCCGAAGCTTCTGGGTCTGATCAGTGGGCCCCCCTTCCTCCAGCTTTTCCGGCTGCTCCGTCCTTGTCTTGTTGGGTCGGGGCTTGGGGAGAGGACTCGGCCTCGGGTCCTGTGGTGAAGGACCTCGAGGCTGGGGAGGGGCTGACTTGGGGGCCTTGGGCCCCGCTTGACCCCGCCTGGGTTTTTCTTCCCTCTGAGCGGGGCTTATTGTTACAAGGAGTGGGGTTTTCTTTTCCCCCCTCTGCGTACGAGTTGGATTTGGTGTCGGCCCCTTCCCGGGTTCGGTTCCGTGTTCCCCCGGGTACGTCGGTTCCGTCTTTTCGGCGGTTTTCAGCTTATCGCATCCAACCTGGTGTGGTGTAGGTGGCCTTTGCAGCTTACCTCCTGCGTGACCCGGATTATGCCTCGGAAATGGATCCGTCCATGTTCAGGTTTGGGACTTCGTTCCCTTTCTGGCTCCGTTACGAGGTTCCGGAGTCGTCCTGGCTAGCAGACTGCCCCTTGTTTGTTCTGGATTCCTGGCATTCCTTCTGTCGTTCCCGCACACTGGAGTGGCGGGAAGCTTCCACAGTGCTTCAGGTTTTCCTGGGGGGTGAGCTTGAGTACCTGAATGAGTGCTTGTTTGCCCCTGCCCTTCCCCGCGATGTGGGCGTTATTCAGCTCCATGTGCAGGTTCCCACCCTTTCGGCGGCGCTTGTTGCGGAGGACTTGCGCGCCCGGGGCCTTTTGGCTTCGGCCTT